AAGAGGAAGAGGAAGAGGAAGAGGAAGAGGAAGAAGAAGAAGAAGAAGAAGAAGAAGAAGAAGAAGAAGAAGAAGAAGAAGAAGAAGAAGAAGAAGAAGAAGAAGAAGAAGAAGAAGAAGAAGAAGAAGAAGAAGAAGAAGAAGAAGAAGAAGAGAAAGGAGGAGGGAGAGAGGGAGGGAGGGGAGAAGAGAGAAAGAGGAGGAGGGGGGAAAAGCAAGGCATAATAATTCTAGACAGAAACCATGAAAATTCCTTCCGTCCTGGTTCGTGATTTCACGCACACCGCTCGATGTCCAGTGAGAGCCATTTTACGCATACACAGACATCTAGTTCCAACTGTCTAAACAAGACCCTGCGTCTTGGGAGTTAAAGCATGCGCGCTTTGCACTCACTGAAGAAGGATGTTTCCAGAACTATGAGGTGGTTCCATCAGGCAAGGCCTGTGTGGCCTGTGAGCAGGGTGATTCCATGGGGAGACCCCCAGGTAGGGATTTTCTCTCTGCCTTCCAGTGCTCTATGAGTTCCAGGCATCAGGCATCTGAACCCCGTGCATGGAACTGTGGGAATCCTCAGTTCATTGGGATATGTACAGCAGATCTTGGCGAGAGGTTGTTCTTGGAGGTTCTGGAACTCTGTGCTGGGGTTGTGTGTCGGGATGGTTTCCTTGCTAGGCAAGTAAGAATGAATCTCTGCTCCCTCCCTCCCTTCACCGCTTCTAATTTTCTCACTCAGCTGCAGGGGGACCTCCATTGCAACCACCCTCAGCCACCCAAACATATGGTGGATTGGCCCACCAAAACCTTCTTTATAAATGACCATCTCTCAGCAGGGTGTGGTGGGTTATGCTTGTAATTCCAGGACTCAGGAGGATAAGGCAGGAGGATCATGAGTTTAAGACAGGTTTGAGGAAGACAGCAAGTTCCAGGCTAGCCTGGGATACACAGTGAGACTCCATATTAAAGAAAGTGAAAGACTAACATAATCCAGGTTTGGTGGCTGTCACCTGAAATCCCAGCACTTGGGAGGTAGAGGCAAGAGGCCAGAAGAGCTCAAGACACCAGAACTACATGATACCTTCTTGAAGAGGCTGAGACAAAAATGAAGTTCAAAGTCAACCTTGTCTCCATATTAAAACCATGTCTAGGGCTGGAGAGATGGCTCAGAGGTTAAGAGCATTGCCTGCTCTTCCAAAAGTCCTGAGTTCAATTCCCAGCAACCACATGGTGGCTCATAACCATCTGTAATGAGGTCTGGTGCCCTCTTCTGGCTTGCAGGCATACACACAGACAGAATATTGTATAAATAATAAATAAGTAAGTAAGTAAATAAATAAATAAATAAAACAAACCTTGTCTAAAAAGTGGGCTGAGCCGGGGTGAAGCTCAGTACTTAACCTTGAAAGCAGAAGGAGCAGAGTTTGATTCCCAGAACCCACATTAAAAGCTAACAAGACATGGCAGTACCTACTTGCAATACTAGAAATGGGGAGGAAGAGAAAGGAGGATCCCCGGGATTCCCTGGATGACTAGCCTAGCCTACTAGGTGAGTCCCAGACCAATGAGACACCCTGTCTCAAGACAAACAAACAAAAGACATGGTCAAGCTCTGTGGAAAAGGGCATCTTTTGTCAAGCCTGGCAAGCTGGGTTTGATCCCTGGGACAAACACGATGGAAGAAGAGAACCAATTCCTGCAAGTTGTCCTCTGACCTCCACACATATGCACATGTGTGAGCACACATGCACACAAGCAAATAAATCTAAGGACACCTGAAGGACAACAGCCAAGGTCGTTCTCTCTGACCTCTACTGCTCATGCATATGCACATTCTGTGGGCCACACACACACATGCACATGTATCTGCACACACACACATGTATCACATACACCACACATGTGCATCACATACACATATACATTTGCGTACACACATACATCACATGCATACTTTTGCACACATACAGATACATCACACACACATGCATCTGTGCACACACATTTACATCACACACCCATATATTATATACACACATGTATCTGCACACACACAAACACACACATATTCATCTGTATACACACGTATATATCACACACAAAAACATACATACAACACACAAAAATATATACATGCATCTGTAAATGCACATATCACACCCATGCATCTTTACACACATGCACATCACACACATGCATCTGCATACACATATATATCACATACATTACACATATACATGCATCTGCACACACATACGTCACATACACAAACGCAACACACACATCTGCGCACACACACACATATCTCACATACATGTGTCTGGACACATACATATCACACACATACACACACATACACCACAGACACACACACACACATACCTACAAGGGTCAGCTTCCTGTTTTGCTTTTTTCCTTCCTGTTCACTTTGAGAATTCCCACAGTAGTATCTGCAGCTCTGAGCCACTGGCACTGGCAGGGCACTCGCTGTATTTGGATGATCAATTTAGAAAGCATATGGGGTGACAATGTTCCTTAATGAGGCACAATCCTGCAGGGACCAGTTCGGTATCCCAGGGAAATTAATATGCAGAGTAGAATGTGTGAAAGCTCTTTGCACGTAGTAGTGAGGAACCATAAGGCTTAACATGTGTGCCAGGACTGGATGAAGATGGAGCCCACAAATTGGAGAAAATACGAAATCCACCAAGAAGTGGGCAAACTGTAAGGCTGCAAAGTGGTCCACCGTGGTCGTGGAGTCTCTGCAATACTCAAGACAAGATTCCACCACAAGTCTGTAGCAAGAAAGAGCGCTCTCTCAGGCTGAGCAGGAAAGAAACAGACGAAGAATCATAGCAACCATGTGTGTGGCGCCCAGGTGACGGGGTATAAAAGGAAGAATTCAGTGCCTGGTGATGGCAGGTGGAAATGAGCAAGTTTATACCACTGAAACTAGTAATGAATGAGGGATAAATCAAGGTGAGGAAACTTGTCCCCAAATCGAAATCCAGCAGCGGGCAGTTCTTTAATGGGGTGAGTTATTTAACCAAGCTAAGAATGTGTTATGGTCGTTCAGGAAAGAGTACAGGCCACTGCAAACAGCTGGGGGGAAGTAATTGAGTCTGTCACCAGAAGGTCACCATTTTATTAGTTATGGTTTGCACCCGGAGGTAGGTATGGCTACGCACCTAGTACTGCACTGCAGGACTTCCAGCTTCAAATGGAGGATGATAAATGGATTAAGGCCGTAAAGTTTTATAAGTGCGAACCTAAGAATTATCTTTTTAATGGCTGTTGTGAACGGTACTGGAGTGAGACCAGAATAGTAAAGCAGAATTCTAGCCGGCACGTCAGGCGTTTGGCTACTGAGGTAAGAGAGTAAACAGATACAGCACCCTAGTTCAATCCACGTGTGCCCTCATGAACAAACTTCAAACCCAGTGAAATCAGCACCAGGAAATCCCTTCGGACACAAAGGTGGAACGTTTGAAACCAGCAAGATGGCTCAGTGGAAAAAGGGGTTTGCTTCTCAGACTCCCAAATGTTATCCTCTGACCTCTACAACTGCACAGTGACATGCTCACACCCACACACACTCTCTCTCACACACACAAGCATGCACACACACAGATGATAATAATAATAAATGGAATTTAAATGTATTTTTTTAAAAAAAAAAAAAGGTGAGAAGCTTAAGCGGCTCACAGCCTGCCACCAAAAGAGTCAAAAATAAACAAACTAGCAAGATCAATCAATATGAGCAGCTGGAAATGACATCCCACAGGTTCAGCCTCTGCAGAAAGAAAGGCTGTGAAGCCAAACAGACCCCAGCTCTGTTTTCTGTTAGGGGATCTAGGCTGAAAGACTTCTTCAAAAGTTCTATGTGTGTGTGTTTGCATGTGCTATGTGTATGTGCATGTATGTATGTGTGTACGTATTAATGCGCTATAAAGGAAAATACTCCACTGCTATAACCCTCTCTGCATCTCCCCCAACACACACACACACACACACACACACACACACACACACATCAGCAGTAGCTACGGCAGCTGCCCTGTAACTGAGAAAAGCACCAGGAATTACAGAAACCACTGACATCCCCTAACTGCTAAACCAGACTCAGAACCCACTACCATACCCTGATGTCCCTCTAATAACAAGTGTGCTTTGTGTGCTCAGAGCACTGTGGGTGGTGCAGCCAAATGCCTTCCAACCCAAGGAGTCTTACAACTCCGCGACCCCAGATCGTCAATTGCTCTCCCATCACTGACGACATGGAAACTCTCCTGCCTTGGTTAGTACCCTTGACCCTTCAACAGTCTCGCCACCCCCTGCTCCTGGTAACACTCGTCCCCCCACTGCAGACTCTTATTCTTGGTCCCCTTGGCAATAGCAAAGTTTTGGGGGCTCCACAAGGATAGACTTCCACTGGCACTGTTCTGTCCAGTTCTGGGAGCTTTCTGGGGGCCTTGGGGGAAAGTCTGTGTTTACTTCTCAGTGTCTCCATGAGAACCAGCCTGCTGCAGGACAGTATCCAGGCAGCAGAATGTGCAGCAGGCAGGCCTGCCCCAGAGCCACTCCAACCCTGCCATTTGATTGGACAATGGAGACGGACAAAGGACCAGTTCGGTTGGGTCACATCGTGAAATCTCAGGAACAGGCTGCTGGCTCCTCAGTGAACAGATCTGCTGCTCTACCACATTGTCTAAAAGAAAGTGCCCATTACAAGCGCAAAAGTCACCAAGCTGGTGATGACAGTAATGGATGATTGCGTCTTTTCAAAGGGTGAAAAGGAGCCAAGGAGAGGCTTGTGTGAAGGCATGTCTTCAGTGTATAATTAACTGCCGGCTTCTTTGGGTTTGCTCCGATAATGAACTTGGCAAAGAGCTGCAGAGCAAGATAGCCAGCGGCAGGGCCGGAGGAGCAGCGGAGGTCATCCGGAAAGCTGCTGGGGTGGGGGTCCTGGGCGGGCTCTGTGACTCTGTCACCCGGAGAAGTCCTACTCCACCACATTCAGACAACGTGGCAGTCGCTGCAGGCACTGATCAAGGAAGCAGAGACCTGCCCTGGCTGCTCTTGAGTCCCCACATTCCTGCCCGTGAGCACCCAGGCGAGGAGTCCAGGGCCATGCTGGCACCAGATGTCCCCACTCTCCCCCGGGCTGGGGAACGGGTTGCAAGCTCCCCTGAGAAATGAACAGTGCAACCTGGGCCAGCCTCTCTTCCCAGAACTGGAGGCCGCTTAAGAAAAGGGAGCTTGTAGGCTTTGTCACAAAAGCTTACACTTTTTAGCTAAAAGGAGCCCCTAGAGATGAGCTAATCCACTCTATTTTAAAATGAGACCAGAGAGGAGACATGACAAACCGGAGATCACACAGAGAGCAGATGACGGAATTCTCAGGTGTTCTCCCCCGGAAGCCTCTGAGAAACACATTTGGCTGGCCATACCTCCTGAGCCTTGAGTCTCCACAGAAGAGGATAGAATCCCCTCAGAGCTCCATGAAAACCTGGGTTGCTTACCAGACAGGTATGTGAATTCCTAACAAGAGGTGAGTCAAGCCTATAGTGACCTTTCTCTATCCATCAAAGTATGGGAGTCAATAACTAATCAATTTTCAAGACACAGGAGCATCATTTTCCTGAAACATAATCTAAACAGCGGGCTCAGGACTGGGGCTGTACCTCGGTGTAAGGGACTTGCTTACCTAGCATTCATGAAACCTTGGGTTCCATCCCCAGCCAGCACGCGTGCACGTACGTGCACGCATGCGCACATGCACACACATACGCACACACACAAACAGCTTTAATTTAGTTTAATTTAAAAGCAGTTTCAGATGCAGCGACTAGTTTACAACACTGGTGGCCCCTCGTCAAAACACAGGTCATACAGAGCACGACAGGGTGAACGCCTTAGCAAGTCCTTTCCACTCAAGCGCCGGCATGAGATTTTAAAACTGTAAGTCAACACAATCCAAGAATTGTGAGCGCTCGAGAAGAAGAGGAGACTAGAGATGGCTTTCCGGAGCCAGGGGTGGGGGAGGGGAGTAAGTAAAGCACCTACGGCCAAGCCTGATGATCTGAGTTTGGTCCCTGTCCTTCCACCAGGTGGGAGGACAGAAGTGGCTCCAACAAGATGTACACACACACACACACACACACACACACACAATCAAGCAATCAAGTAAGCAAGCAATTTTACTGCATAATGTAATGTAATAATGTAATCCACTGCTCTGGCCTACCTTGGAGTTCCAGCCTTACCTGTGCTGCACAGTTCCTGGGGCTGCAGTGTAAAAAAATCCAATGGGACTGAGGAGCCTTCCTCGGGGTCCTTGCAGCCTCTGCTATCACAGGGCCTCGCCTCTACCATCTCTTCCACTCCCGGCCACCAATCAGCTTTTTGGCTGCCCCTCAGTCTTGCACCCCTGCTCATCTCAACCTCCTCTGCCCCCTCTACAACACATACTGCCCTCTGCCTGCAGTGGTAATGGGGTTATTTTTTTTTTAATATTTATTTATTTATCATGTAAACAATATTCTGTCTGTGTGTGTATGCCTGCAGGCCAGCAGAGGGCACCAGACCCCATTACAGCTGGTTGTGAGCCACCATGTGGTTGCTGGGAATTGAACTCAGGACCTTTGGAAGAGCAGGCAATGCTCTTAACCTCTGAGCCATCTCTCCAGCCCGGTAATGGGGTTATTGAGGCTAGCTAGAGACGGGCTGGAGGGAAGAGGATTCTGTATACACAAAGACAGGGAGAAATTAAGGGCAGGACACGATAGCAGTCATCATGATGTAAGGCAAAGAGGAGTTGGAATCTTGCACTTTTGAGTCAGAATTCCACGTGACATTTTGAAAGCTGACCAGGGATAAATTAGAGAGTACATTTGCCCTGTACACATGAGGTTACACTATCTGCAAGAGAGAACTGTTTTGAGTGTTAGATGACAGCTATAAGGACCTAGGCAGTGTCTAGAATGCAATTAATACACCACACACACACTTATACACACATACATACACTAACATACACACACACTCACACATACACATACATAATACAAAATGTGCACACAGTCATAATAACTCCTACACACATGCAAACACATTACACATATACACACACTCATATACACACATACAATCACATCACACGCATGCACACACATACACCACACACAAATCTAAACACAAGCACACACACAAGCACCACATAAACATACCACATACTCATACACACATACATGTATACACTAACACACACACACACACACTGACTCTTTAGTAACAGAAAGTGAAGTTTTGAGAGATTCTGATGTTTTACAATATGCGAAAGCCAAAGGTACTTGTAGAGAGAGTAATTTGAAAATTATTCTCGTTTCTCATAGACTAGTGATGTAAGGAAAGCAGGCTCCACTTGGCAATGGTAGTGCAAGAAGCAGCATCCTCAGTCACAATATAGGACTTTGGGATGTCCCCACCAGTGGCTGTGCTTGGGGTTCCAGTCTGGAGCATATCCACTAGACCCTGCTGCCCTTGCAGATAGCAAACACCAACAGGCACAACCCAAATCCCAAGCTCCAGCTCCGCCATCCCTCCTTCCCGCACATCTAACTCTCTCTTTTCCTCTGGAGATGAGATGTTGGCTCATTATATCTATTTTTAATAAAAAGGCAAATTTAAGCTTTCCTCTGTAGTTTCAAGTAAATTCTTCTAGGACACAGACTCACTGGGGATCTAGTTACAAATGACTTTTAGTAGCATACATTAATGAATTTAACCAAAGATAGAAAATCACCGGTATTCTGATTTTCTTTTTCTTTTTTTTTTTTACTCCAGAGCACTATAAATCCAACTTGTCTTTTCTTTTTAACTACATTTGCCATAAAACCACTTATTTTACCGAGGCTGTGACACACACACACACACACACACACATACACACCGCTGTTTCACCTGCTGATTAATAAAGCAATTAGCAGTGGCTCTGAAGCTCTCAGCACAGAGACTGGCCTTCAGATATCTCTGTTGCACTAATGGGTTCTCGGAGGTGATGTGGCACACGGATGACTGCCTGCTGGGGCCTGCGGAATACATTTCCTAATGTACATCGTCAAGATGAATTGATAAATTACGTCAGTCTGGGTTAGTCATCACACAGAAAATATCGTTAGAGAAGAAAAGGGGATGAAAGGATGCGGGCAGGCGTAATTTGTTTTTCATCATTGATTTATGCTATAGAACTATTCTTGTAGTCAATTACCAAAGCAGAAAATGTCAGGAAAGAAAATAAAACTTCTAGAAAAGCAGCGCCTATTACAAAGAGCTATGTGGTAAACAGACAAGAACGACAGCTCTTTTGAAAGCAACACCCCATGAAGCCGACTAGAACTCGTATTTCGGTCTGTATGCAGTGTCCTTGGGGCTATGCCAAATACAGAATTGGACCCATGGCCCTGTTACCTCCTTCCCCCTAAAACGTTATTTCCTTACCATATCTTTGAGGAAAACTCAGGGGTGTGGGTCACAATGAGGGTGGGCTAAGAAGAAAGAAACCATGGTCCGTGGGGTGTTGGGGGTTGGCTCCTTTGGGGATACCAAGAAGCTGAGTTCATTCACAAAGGAGAACTCAAGCCCTTGTGGTTGAAAAAAAAAAAATAAGCTCATATCTATGCATAGAAATTGCTAAAAACAAAAACCAGACCATTTTGTTTTTTTAGGTCTTGCCTTGGAAATCTGTTAAACGAATTTGATGCTCAGGACAGGATACAGATTTCCTTACCAGTCTTACAATATCTGATCTCATTGCCCTTCCATAACCCACCCAGTCATTCCGTGAGCATCTTTGTTCCATCAGGGGCAAAGATTCCTGTTTAGGGAGGCTGAAGCACATTAGAGATTCCAGTCTGGGCTCCAGAGTTAGAAAAACATGCCCATGTCACTACTTATTAGCTAAGTGATTTCCATTAAATTACTTTTGAAGCCAGGTTGGTCATACCTACCTCAAAGAGCTGTTGTTGGAACAACAGGAAGTAATGGCCACCAAGGAGCTAAGGATGATGTCTTCTGCTTGACTGTCGGCTCTTGGAAGCCGTCGCTGCTGTTGAGACTGTCCCTCCGCTGTAATAAACTTTGAACTGCTTCTCTGGTGCCGAGAATGAAAACATGCTCTCTCTCTCCCTCCCTCTCTCCTTCTCTCTCTCTTTCTCCCTCTCTCTTCCCTCCTCCTCTTCCTTCCTACCTCCCCCACCCGGAATTCATAACACATATCTAAAAGTCTCTTTTTTTGCATATCTAAGAAAATAGGCACTAGATAGAGATTGAATAAGACACCAATATAAATCAATCCATCTGCCCACCCAACCCAGAAAAATCCCATTTGAAACACTGTCTGCTTTTTATCCCTCTGTCCCTCCTCCCCTCTTTTCCCCATCCCTCTGTTTTCTCTTCTTCTCACTCTATCTTGTCACCTTCCTCCCCCGCCACCTGCCAAATCTTTGAACTCTTCTGTCGCCCTAATATTTGTCTCTTTTCAAAATTCTTATGTTGAAATTCTGACCCTCAGAGAAATGGTATTAGGAAGTGGTCTTCAGACAGCGATTGCGTCAAAAGGGCAGAATTCCCACAGAAGGGATTAGAAACCCAAGAGGGATCTTGCAGGGGTTTGAATAAGAACCTTACAGGCTCATATATTTGAATGCTTAGTCACCAGGAAGCCAGAACTACTTGGGAGGGATTAGGAGGTGTGGCCCTGTTGGAGGAAGTGAGCAAGTGTGTCACTGGGGGTGAGCTTTGAAGTTCCAAAAGCCAAAACCAGGCCCAGTGTTTCTCTCTTCCTGCTGCCTGAGGATCCTGACGTAGAACTGTCAGCTACTTCTCCAAAACATGTCTGCCTGTGTGTCACATACTCCCTGACATGATGATAATGGACTAAACCTCTGAAACTGTAAGCCAGCCCCCAATTAAATGCTTTCTGTGATCATGTTTCTTCACAGCAATGAAACACTGATTAAGGCAGCCGTCTTCCTTACATATGAAGATATAGCAAAAGGCACTTTCTATACACCAGAAAATTAGCCCTTGATCTTGGGCTCCAGGAGTGAGGAATCAATTTCTATAGCTTATGAGCCACACAGTCGATAGCATTCTGTTAGAGCAGACCAGGGGTGTGTGTGTGTGTATGCTAAAACAGGCAGAGAGAGAGAGAGAGAGAGAGAGAGAGAGAGAGAGAGAGAGAGAGAGAGAGAGAGAGAGAGAGAGAGAGAGAGAGNAGAGAGAGAGAGAGAGAGAGAGAGAGAGAGAGAGAGAGAGAGAGAGAGAGAGAGAGAGAGAGAGAGAGACAGAGAGACAGAGAGAGAGAGAGAGACAGAGAGACAGAGAGAGAGACAGAGAGAGACAGAGAGACAGAGAGACAGAGACGGAGAGAGAGAGAGAACAGCAAATCACACAGTTCTGAACAATCCCGGCCACCCTTTGGTGGTTTGAAAGAAAATGACCCCCAAAGGAAGCAGCACTATTAGGAGGTGTGGCCTTGTTAGAGGAAGAACATCACCATTATGGGTATGCTTTGAGGTCTCTTTTGCTCAAGCTTCCCTCAGTTTGATAGCCTTCTTGTTGCCTTCAAGATGTAGGACTCTCAGCTACTCCTCCAGCACCACATCTGCCTGCACACCACCATGCTCCCCATCATGATGATGGACAGAACCTCTGAAATGGTAAGTGAGCCCCCTCAATTAAACGCTTTCTTTTTAAGAGTTGCCATGGTCATGGTGTCTCTTCACAGCAATAAAAACCCAAAGACACACCCCTCAGGAGCCAATCAAAAGGACACAGGAGTCAAAAGAAAAGTGAATCTAATCTATGAACTCTGATTCCCCAGAGCTTGGAGAAGCATCAAGATACTGTTTAGCTTTTGTCTTCAGGAGGAGGAGGTCTGTGTCCTTCGCCAGGTGAGCCCAGAAAGGACAGAGTGCTCCACCACACAGAGCAGGCGGTATAGGTGTCGTATCAGAGACTAGCTGATAGCCTATCCTCTACGGAGCTGGCTTCACCTGCATCTCACATCTCATAGAGACAAGGTTGAGAACTCATCTATTGGGAATCTCCACTCCAGCCTCTCTTTCTCTCTCTCTCCCATTGTAAACCCTGCCCTTCTTAGAATGCCTGCCAAGTGGCAGCTTCTCCTCTGGAAATGCTCAAGACCATAGCTATAGAGTACTTAAGCTCTGGTCCCTAGAGCTGCTGCCACGTGATCCCCCCCCCCCGCCCCGGCGCCCACAGATCACCCTGGGGTGCTCTGCTCATTAAACCTGGACTTTTAATTCGGCCTGATCCGACTTACTGCATCAGGAGAGAAACCCACTACCAGGGATCCAAAAGTACTTATCATCATCCCTTAGTCATTGTTGTACCAGATGCACCTGCACCTTCTCCTGGTGCTCAAGATGCTCTGGGAGGATGCTTCAAATGAGGTCACTTGGCATCTGCTTCATCGTGCACACTTGGGATGCAGATGAACCTGCCTTTGTTTTCTTTTCTTCCAAAAAGTCCTACAGTCAATCAAACCCTAACCCAACCAGATCTTCATTTATCCCTCGTTCCCCAGACTCTAAAATGGTATCTGTTGTTTAATTACAAATTACACTGACTGGATTATTATGTGTTCTATGTATGCCTGAACTCATTACCCTGTGTCCTAACAATATTCATGATTCTTAGATGCCAATTCAAATTCCTTTTTAGACAATAGAATGGCAGGCAGGGATTCTCATATGCAAAGCTTGACCTCATGCATTTACTGTTCTTACACACACACACACACACACACACACACACACACACACATGCAGGCACGCACGCACACACAAGCTTCTTTCCCAGCCTAGCCAGAAGAGAATCACGTGTTACTGCCCAGAGTCGGAAATACCAGCTATTTCCACTAATATCAGCAGCTAAGCAAACATTCCCCTGCCTCCCAGAAGGAGGCTGAATCTTTCCTACCCTCCCCTTCCTTTAAAAGGCAAAAGCAGCCCCTTCCGGAATATTCTCTGTCTAAGCCTCACTGAATTCTAGAATACCCCAGAGGCAAGAATTCACCCCCTCCCTCCCCTTTGGGTCCACAGCTGCCGTGACCATTAATCACTCTGCTGTCAGCCTCTCCCACAGAGGGCATCCCGTGGTGCGTAGTGTACGCTGGAGGAGCCAACAGTGCAGAGACTACCCAATACTCCCTGCCCTATCATCAGGGTTCTAAAAAGCCACCGAGGCCAATGCCAGTGGCTCTATCAACAGTAAACATCTAGCCAGCATCTTCCCACTCTGGCCTTAACGGTGGGGGTGGCACTCCAAGGACCCCACTTCCCGGACCCAGCATGGCTCTCACCTCACTCACTCTTTCTGAGCCTCTGCTCCCTTCCTCTCCATCTACCGGCGTTAACTGGGCAAAGGTTGATGGTAACTCCTGGGAAATTCATTGCAAATGCCAGATCTGAAAGCTGTAGTCAGACTAATATAAATACTGTTTTCTGAGATATGTGGCTTTCTGCCCATCTCCTCCATCCTGAGGCCATCCCTGCTCCTAACTCTTCGGTTCTCATAATCTCATTCTGACCTCAGTCTCTCTGGGAAACCTAACCCTAGATTCATAAGGGGATCAAATCCCTAAAACCCCTACCATGTCACCATACCTACACATATTACACACACACACACACACACACACCTAAGCACACAGACCACAAGCACATCAAACATGCACCACAAGCCATACCCACTCATGCCACACATAATATATATACCACAAATATAACACACCCATCCCATACACCGCACATAGATATCGCAGATGTACCAAGCGCATCACACGCTACCTACTGCACACACAAACACAGATATCATACACACATAGTAAACACCATACACACAAGAAAACTCTTGCTTCTGGTTCTTTTCCCAGATTCAAGTCAAATGCTTATTGTCTTGTTTAGGGTTTCTATTGCTGTGAAGAGAAACCATGACCACAGTAACTCTTATGAAGAAAAACATTTAATTGCCGCTGGCTTACAGTTCAGAGGTTTAGTCCACTATCACCATGCAAGAAACATGGCAGAGGGTAGGCAGACATGGTACTGGAGGGGAGCTGAGCGTTTCCACCTGGATCCTCAGGTAGCAGGACTGACTTGAGAGCCTGAAACCTCAAAGCCCACCCTGTAATGGCACACCTCCCAACAAGACCACACCTGCTCCAGCAAGGCCACACCTCCTAACAGTGCCACTCCTTATGGGGACTGTTTTTTGTTCAAAGCACCATAGTTATCATCCTTCTGCAGCTTTCACTGATATTCTACTGCGATGAATCTCCTTATCTTTGCCCCCACTGTACTTCCTTCATAACTAGAATTCTCTAGCCAGCTTCTGAGCTCCCCAAGATATATTCAAAAATTATTCACTCTAACACTTCACTTAAGGCCAATGCCCCAGTACAACCTGCTTTCAATTCTATGGGAACTACCACCCAATGTATTAAGTCACAATCCCTTAAAGACAGCATTCTCCTGGTGTGAGAATTAATTCTCACACCTTTATTTTAATTTCAATTTATATTACTATAGGTTTTTGCTTCTCTAAAGGATGAAGGAACTCCACCCGGTGTGTCAGATGTCAATGAAGGTGACAGCCAAGACTTTCTCTGCATCAGGACAGTGTGAAAGGGGAATCAGGGGTCTTGACTGTCTTTTCTACTCACAAGCTTTGTGACCTTGAAAATGTTACTTCTCTAAGCCTTAGTTTTTTCACATTAAAAAAGTAAAAGCATTGCATTCTTGCTCTCAGAGCTGCTCAGTCCCTAATCTTCTAGCCCTAACCTTATCAAAGAGCAGGACATTAGGGATCAAGATAGATGATGCACACCTGGAATCCCAGCAACTTGAGAAGTAGAGACACGAAGATTCTCTATTTGAGGCTAACCTGGGCAGGTCAAAGAAACCCTGCCTCCAGCTAAACATTCGGAGGCAGTGGGAGTGGAGATGCGGCTCAGAGGCTGAGGACTTTTCTGCTGTGTGCAGGGCCCTGGTGTGGTCAAAGCAAACATGCACTGTCTTCATTGTGTGGACAGTGGAAGGCCGCAGCAAACTCAAGACGCAGTCTCAGGGTGAGACAGCAACCAGAGAATGCTCCGAGGATAGGAGGCTGAGTCCCCAGAGTCCTCAAGATGTCACAGTCCCCATTAGAGCATCGCCGCCCTTCTCAGCAGCCCGTTGGCCAACCTCAAAGTTTTCGTACACGCATAGCTCGCTGTCCTTACGGAATTTGGTGCTGGAGCATCACTCTATTTTGTACACAGCATCCAAGGTTTTCAAAAGAACTTAATTACGAGGAATTCCATAGAGACATAATCCAGAGGAAACACGGGCCTGCCTGCATTGCATAATGAGGAGACAGCCAACTGGCCGAGATAGAGGCTGTGGGTGGACACACCTCACACTGGTGCTGGAAATCAGCACCTCCTGCCCCTCCCCAACGTGCCCTCTCCTCCACAGCAGGAACTCTGCCCCAGCTGATTCTTTGCTCAGTTGCCCTCTAACTTCCACATCGTCTTGGGCACCTGTCAGGCCTGTATGTAGGCTATGTTTTCCTACGTGCCCTGGTCTTAAACTGCCAACTGCCAGGCTCCTAATCCCAATGCTATCAAAATAGATGGCCTTAGGGCTGTGTTAGCTATGCCCCTGCTGGTTCCTAAATTTCCTCCAGGCTGCTCACCCCGGCCTTTTTACACACAGGAAATGCTGCAGTATATTGTGCAAAAAAAAAAAAAAATCCATTCCCTGTTGTGGGGATGGAAAACTTCTCGCTCTGCCCCCATAGAGGAACAACCAGCAGGGCTGTGTTTGGCCTTGTGCAGCTCAAAGTCAGAAATGGATCCTGGCTGGATCCACTTTCGGTCTCAGCTTCCTCTTCATCAAAACAAAATGAGAGAGAGAGAGAGAGAGAGAGAGAGAGAGAGAGAGAGAGAGAGAGAGAGAGAGAGAGAGAGAGAGAGAGAGAGAGAGAGANAGAGAGAGAGAGAGAGAGAGAGAGAGAGAGAGAGAGAGAGAGACAGAGAGAGACAGAGAGAGAGAGAGACAGAGAGAGAGAGACAGAGACAGAGAGAGAGACAGAGAGAGAGTGCTGGGCCCGATGCCTCTGCTCCACGATGGCTCCATGCCTCAAGTACCTGGTGCCTGTTTTATTAATGAGTCCTCCTGGAAGCTTGAACCCCTCATCCACAGGAATGGGTAAAGAAGTGACAATCATGCTCTTTCGTTTTAAAATAATAATAATACCGAAGCCCCAGAACCTAGACATTTGTCCACCACGGTGTCTGGGAGAAAATATAACCTGGTAGAAATTCAATTGCCTAGTAAGTAAAGGACAATGAATATTAGTGTCACCTGGTAGTGGCCGCAGATGGTTCCAGTTTACCACTCTGAGTCCAGGAGGTCAGATGGGAGGGATGAGGGATATGAGAGTCATTGCAGAGGGATACATCTCAGGAATCTCCAAGGATAGGTACCACGCTTGCTTGCACTTGGGTGTGGAAGATCATCTGAGTTCAAAAGAGATGGCGTAATTCTCTTTCCTGTAATGCCTGCAGGTGGCTTCTGTCCCCACCCTGCGCTCTGGTGATATGAGATCTCAAGAGCGGTTACGAGTTCATTTCAATCAACCAATAGTGGACAGCATCTGCAGTGTCCCCAGCACCAGAGCTACGAAAATGATGGTGACCGGCCATGCTTTCCCCTAAGGCGCCTGTCTGCAGTGGGAAAAAAGATCCCAAACAAGAAAGGTTAGGTTTAGTGAACCACAAGGGGAGTCTGGAGTCATGCTCTCTCACCAATAAAGGAAAACAAAACTTCCCAAACTGTGGGGGAACACAGGAAGAAACAGCCAGGTAATAAAACCTGTGTCGAAGACCAGGACATGTTCCAGGTTTTGATCGAAGAGGAAGACGGTTGAGAGGACTGTGGATTAAAAGCCTTATTTGACAGTGGTCCTTAAACCATGATTGGAAAAAAGATGGAAGAAGGTGACCTGGAGTCACCACAAAGTCTCTGTCTCACTGGGCGGTGGTGACACGTGCCTTTAAACCCAGGAGGTCAAGTGCAGGAGGCAGAGGCAGGCAGATCTCTGTGAGTTCGAGGCTAGTCTGGTCTACAGAGCTAGTTCCAGGACAGGTTCCAAAGCTACACAGAGAAACCCTGTCTCGAAAATAAATAAACAAAAGACTCTGTCTCAAATCGTGACATGGAGGCAGAGAGCTCTGTGTCACACAGAGCTTAGGAGTTCTGGACCTGGTGAGGAAGGTCAAACCGAACTATTTCAATGTCTCTCGCGATCCATTTATAAATGTTTTTAATTCTTCTTCACAGCACTGTATTTTTATAGCCTCATAATAACTCTGTAAGGGGGGAATTGAGAGGGAAGGGGGAAGGAAAAGGAGTGGGGGGGTGGAGTGACCAGAGAAGAGGAGAAGGGGGGAGGGGAGGGGAGAGGAGAGCCTGGAGCTCAGAGACATTAGATAAATGGGCTACAGATACATTCCCAAAGAGGTCAGTGCACTTGACCTGGTGGCATAGACCGTATAATCTCACCTACTTTGGGGAGGCCAAGATTGAAGGATTGAAAATTGGAGCCAGCCTGGGCTACAGAGTAAGTACAGGACCAACCCAGGCCTTTTAGTGAAAACTTAGCTCAACATACAAAGAACACGTCTCAGTAGCAGTGTGCTTTCTTAGGGTCACCAAGACCCTGGATCTGATCCCCATCACCTCTGAAGCCTAAGAGGCCAGCGTGGGGCTTCCAGTTCAGGCACCATCAGCACGGGCCACGTTGTCTTGGAAACAGAATGTGGGAGATCTGAGAAGAAGTAAGAGGACTCATGCTGACCCCCCCCCATGCCCCGGGAGATGGGGAACAAACAGATGCCAAGGGGAATCTGGAAAGACCGCCATCCAGTGCTGTGACCTGCTTCAAAGGGCTGAGCTACTACTAGGCCAGGGGAGTCTCCCTCTGAAGCCAGGTCCCCAGCATACCTAGAAGGGGAAGCTCTCAGGGATGCTTCAATAGTGGGAACAACCAAAGGAAACGTGTACAAGGAATCCTAACCTCCAAGATCCTGTAGGCCCTGGAAAAGATTTTCGTTGGAGGCTGCTGAATTCCATAAGAAAATTTCCAACCTTCCTGTTCTGGGGGGACCCTGGAGTCTCCACAGCAGCAGATGGGACACGGTGCTCTTTCGATGTACCCTCCTCTACTCTATCCCCACAGTCATACTGTTGCTCAGAAAGCTGCCCCAACCCATTGTCTCCTGGGTCACAGAATAGCACTTTTCTGCCCACAAAGAAACGTGATTTACTGGCTGCTTTCTCTTTAATCCGCAAGGAAAAAAAAGGCAGGATGGTGAGTCTGTGGGCAGAAATCCAATGTTACAAGGATTTCAGCGGATGCAAATTGTTTCCTGGATAAGGGCTAATGACAGCTAATAGGCCAGTGCTGGGGGCTGGGCAGGTGACCTAGCAGCAGCTTCCTATTTCTGTTGGCCATAATCGCAACTTCCATCTGCTATTTTCATCCTCCTCCCATGTTATTGGCAGCATGGCCACATTTTCACACTCCTACTGCTCCCAGAGGACGTGGGCATGCTGTTTTACATTGCAATACAAAAGCGTAAGCCTTCCCTCCGAGCTACTGAGAAATGAGCTAGCACAAGCCTGAGCTTCCTGTTCCACCTGAGCATCCGTGTGTGTGTGTGTGTGTGTGTGTGTGTGTGTGTGTGTGTGTGCACGCCTGCACATGCATGTACACCCAGTTCAAAGTGGAGTTGCTTTGCACAAATGAACTGGCGAGCCACTGAGCAACGGCAAATCTCCGCTGGGCGGTCTACTTATGACTCCGACAGGGAGCCGGCTCCCGCTGTAGCTTTTTCGGGGTCATCTATATTCATCAGAGGATCCCACAGCCTCCAGCCCTGAGCTGGGGATGAAGAGCTGGGCAAGGGCAAGGTCGACTGTGCACGTAGAGACTGCCGGGCATCAAAAAGTTGCTTCTGAGAGCAAAGACATCAGTTGGCAAAGCCATAGAAAGCATGGGGGTCAGGAGGCGAGGGTGGGGATCGGAGGATGGAGAAAAGACACTAGAATCCATGTTTGACACAGCAAGCCTGGGGTACTGCGGCAGAACACCGCAGCCCCCTTGTCTTGGGCTAACTTAAGCTCTTCGTTTCTCCCATTAGCATGTTGTTGCTCTCCCCAAACTCTCTCTCTCTCACCTCCAGTCCTGGGTGACATACCTTCCCTGGGCTTTCTGACTCAATTTCCCCAGCATCAGTCCGTCTGAGTCATGGGTTTTAATCACAAGTGCACTACAAGGTTCGCTTCTATTTCTAGCCCCTTTGCTATACTGTGGCCATCTCAGGAGTAATAGCTTCTCTTCCATCTTTATACCTGCTGTTATGCCCACAGCGCTTAATAAATATCCTTCTGGATAAATAAGGATCAGGGAGGGATGACAGAAAGAAGGGAAAAAAATGGAAAGAGGGGGAGGGCGAGAAAAGCAGGGACAAAGCAAGGGAGAGAAGAGAGAGGGAGGGCTTAGTTTCTAGCGCAGCAGGATATCACGTGATACAGGCTGGCTCGTACAGAGAGCAGACAGCAATTAACATTTTTCATCTTTGAGTACTATTGATAAGGTTCTACATGTGTGATTGACAAGGAAAACACAAAGACCTGCTAAGAGACTCAAAGAATGGGCTCTGAACCGAGTGATCTTGTTGCAGATAACAAGCTGCTGGCTGCCCCAGCTGCCGGCCTGCTTTGCCTTCTGTCTTCTCACGACCGGCTCCAGTTACTAGCGGTAGAACGGAACTGCGCATGCTCCTCACCGCTCTGATCCCCGAGGGGAGCGGAGGCCTTCCCCAGGCACAGGCTGCTGATGGACGCTGACCAGCTTCCAAACACCTACCTCACTGTCCCCAGGACCTGCTCAGACCTTCTTAGAAAGACGCAACCAGGGAACAGCGCAGACAGGCAAAGGCAGGGGAGGCCTCACCAAATTTGCTTTTCCTCCCAACATCCATTAATCCAGTCACAAACATGGAGGAACTCGGAATAAGCTTCTAAGGTGTCTGAGGAAAATGGAGACTTCCTGATCAATGTTGAATAACCAGGAAGCAAGAGCGTGGCAGGAGTCACTAGAGAACGGTCACGGGCTCTCCTTCCAACTCACACAGGTCTGGGAGGATTGAGGGAATGAAGTTGGAAAATGTGATGGGTAATTGTCTTTGTCAGCTTGGTCTGGGCAATAAGGTATCCAGCTAGTCAGTCAGACATTTCTAAAACCCTCAGCTAAGGGGTCCCATGGTTCTCACTGGTGTGTGTTTCTCAGGAACCTAACTTCTTCATAGGTATATTCCTGGTAAGCTTTGGCTGCAGGCACTGAGTAGCCTCGATGTGCTAAAGAAAATTCATCCCTGGCACATACAGAAAACAACTTAGTAAATATTAAGTAAATCAACACTGTGTCAGCTTCCTCCATTGCCAGGTTTATAATTCATAACATTTTATGACCTATGCAAACAATTTGTGTATTAGATTTTCTCCCTGCACAAGAATTCCCAAGTTAGCCAGCTGATGGCTGAGAAATCATGGCCAATTGTAAAGCAAATGAATAGCTAATTTTGTAGGCAAATTATGAATTACTATATGTTGGACAGAACCCAAAAGTTGGAATGTGTGGGGCCTCTACGTATTGCATAAACCCTGGATGGAAAAGGGGATATGGTAGGTTTGTTTGAAAACAGAGGTGGTTGAGACACAAAGAAAGTGACAAACGCCACCAGTTTATGGGTCACTGAACAAGGTAGCTCAGGATCAACCATGACATCGGAGGTATTTTCTTTCTATAGCTGAAAATCTGGGCCAGGAGAAGGAATCCCCAGCCCCCTCCACTCCACATTTGGCTGTGTTCCATGTGTATCCTGCCAACTCAGAGAAGACTCCCTCCTGGTGATGTGGGGTGTCTTCCACGGAAGTGGGGGCAGCCACACACAGATCAGCATACTGCCTGCTTCATAGGTGTCACTGTCAAGATGTTTAATGTCTCAGCCTGTCCTTGCTGTCTGGAAAGCCTCCTCTCTCATGAGATTGTCTGTTTCTTGCCAGTTGACCTCACCCTCTTACTCCCCACATTCTTTAAGGGTGTTTGGTTCTGTTGATGCCTAAACCATGACCTCAGTTTTGTTTTTTTTTTTTAACATGACTCTACCCTCTACTTCCTGGCCGTTGTCCGGGGAGTGCTAAGGCTACCCCTCCTTATGTGGTACCCTGTTCTCCTATCTCATCTCCATAGCAGCGTGGGGGGCGGGGGTAGGCCAGCCAGGAATGGATGGAAGTCATCTCAGCTTTCTTCCGAAGGAGAGATTCTCTGAAGGAAACCCCTGGATGAACTTCCTTTACCATTCAGCAGTCACTTTTCTGAGGAGAAAATAGTAAAACCTACCACTGGAGAATCTAAGACTTTGGGGAGGTGGAAACTGAACTCGGCAATGGTGGAGTTCAATGCTGTCATTTTTTTTTTTAAGATGAGAAAATGGTGTGCACGTGGTTCAAGTTTGCCCTAAAGTCTGAGAAATCTGACCTTCTCTTTTTCCTACTTAGGTATATTAGTTTTTTAACTCCCCAGAAGATATGCCTTGCCTTTCCTAGGTCGAACTTAAAAAATAAAAATACAACTATATGAAATACATAGATCCTTTTGTGGGGGCTCCCATAAAAGGCAGTACACTGTGGATTACATCCTTGTCAGTATGGGTTTTGAGATTTCTCCCGGGAACCATATCTATAGAGACTGGCGGTATATCAACGGTAACTCAGTGGAACGCAATGGCACTCAGCACACCCAGAATGCAGGCGGCAGGAGGAAGCACATAAATTACATTCTCATTCTCCACAGATAATGCCTGTGCCTCCTTCCCAATCTCATTTTATACACAGAGCAAACAAAACAAAATCAATCTCCCAAACTGTGTGGTCCCGCTGTCTGCTTTCTTTTTTCAGATGGCACAGGCCACGTCATCCACCGCAGTGATTCTATTGGGCAAATTGTGCCTGGCCTTGGTGACATGGTAGGACCCCATCTCCTGTTTCCCTCCAGTACTGGACCTTCAGTCTTTGGTTCAGATGGATCATTTGTTTGGGACTATGACGAAAGCCTAAGAATGGAGTTTTCCTAAGAAAGGGCTGCCTAGCCGGGGTTTGATGTCATGTCTGGGCAATTTTAGTGATAAACAGCAGATTTCTTTGTCCTTCCTTTGCAACAACTTTAAAAGAATGGGAAGCGGGAAACAAAAAGATGAAAAGGAAGGAAGTGG